CTCTCTCTCTCTCTGACAGACAGGAACTAGCCACTCTGTAAAACACTTGCAGTTCACTAACTGGCCAGACCATGGCACTCCTACTTCAGCAGATGATTTCATAAAATATGTTCGTTATGTAAGGAAGAGCCACCTTACAGGACCTATAGTGGTTCACTGCAGTGCTGGTGTAGGCCGAACAGGGGTATTCATATGTGTGGATGCTGTGTTCTGTGCTATTGAAAAGAACTTTTCAGTAAGTATGTGAATCAAACAGATAAAACAATGCTGTTTATGTAACACTACTTGTAACAGCCTGATAATATTGGAAAACTAATATTTGGCCTTTAGGAGCAACTTAAAAACTGAAAGTACATGAGATTTGGATACCTGCTTCTCACTTAACTTACTGTAGGTTCCGGGGGGAGGTGTGTGATTGTGAGGATCTAAGAAATAATATAAATCAATCACTTAGGAATAGTGTCTGAAAATATATTAGATACACAGTTAATATGATTTTATCTTCTTTTTTCTTTCCTCTGTAACCCACCATGGTTTTTAGTATCTAGTATCTTGTAAATGAACTATGCCGGTTTTTAGTACATTTGAGCACACTGAAAAAATATAGACTTCAGAGCTAATGAGATGTCTCTAGGTTTGACTGTCAATTTTACCACATCAGATTTTGGTGACTTTGTGTAACTTGCTCATTCTCTCTCAAACTCAGTACACTTATATAAAATAAGGGCAATAATATTGTTGGGTTTTAGTTAAGCATTAACAATCCTTTAATGTTCTCCTAAATTTGGAACTAGTAAGAGATAGATACTGGGATCTAATATATGGTGATTAAACTGTTATTGCCTAAACTGATTGGGAATGTGACTTGAGATCTGTGGCTCAAAGGGCTTACTTACTGAACTGTATTCCTATGCTGCAGGAGTGAGGAGAAGAAGACATCTGTTTCTCATTACCTATTTACTGAGCAAACACTAGGGGGAAAGTGGCTGATAGAACGATCACAAGAAATGTGAAAGTGCATACCTCAGCCGTAAGGAAACAGGTTTCTAAACATCTGCCCTGGCAAGCATATTCTGTAAAGTTACGTTTTTGTCAGAACCAGCGTCAAATCCCTGCCCTCTCAGACTTTGCAAAGTCATACTCTAACAGTGAAAGGTCTCCTTGGTAGCAGAAAAATGGCCGTTGTGGTTCCAGCACTCATTCTCAGATAATATCAAATAGGGAGTAAAAATCTAATTCCAATTATTCCTTGGAGGATGGAGGAACATCTGTTTTTCAGAAGTTCAGGCCAAAATCTTCAAGTATGTCCCTTTTCTGACTGAAAATTAGCTTCTTTTATGAACTAATAACAGAGGGATGTAGTAGTCCATCTACCTCAGTTCATTTGGTTGAGAATGAAAAAAATATAGTTTCCCAAAGCAAACTCAGAGTATCATTACCAAAAAGGACATAGACCCAGG